CTGCAAAATACCCACCAAAAGACATTTGGCAGAGTGGAGAGTGGACAGTGCATTGAGCTCGACATCTCTGTGCCCTTCTTGCGCTTTACTTAGAACCAGTTTGTCTTGGGAGAGACCCTACCAGGGATCTCCAGACAACATAGCCCCTATAGGCACACAAACCTCTCCATCATGATAAGGTGGTGATTCATGGATGGGTGCGAAATACTAATTTGTTCATGAAGTCACATTTTGTGGTATATGGTAGTTATTTGTACAGCCAGAGCTTTTGTGCAGGCAAGACCCAGAGTTGTACTGACACGTGATAACCCAACTGATTCAATTCAAATCTGTCATGAGAAGCTGTGTGTGGGAGGGAGGATAGGACTCAAAATGCAGGACCCAGAAGTGGGACTAAACTTGTCATCAGCTTTATTGCCAGAATTGCAGAATGCTATTACTATTTATTTAAATTCTTTCTTTCAGATTGGTGCAGCGGCTGCAGTGATGCAGACGTTGTACCGGTCCATCATGGTGAAGAGAGCTGAGTGTAAAAGCGAAGCTCTCAATTTACCGGTTGATCTACTTCCATACCCTCACCTATGGTAATGAGCTGTGGGTAGTGATCGAAAAAACGAGATTGCAGATACAAGCAGCAGAAATGGGCTTCCTCCGAAGGGTGGCTGGCCTCTCCCTTAGAGATAGAGTGGAAAATTCAGCCATCCGGGAGGGGCTCAGAGGCCCTGGGGCAGACCCAGGACACTTTGGAGAGATTATATCTTTCGGGTGACCTGGAAATGCATTGGTGTTCCCCCAGATAAGCTGGAGGAGGTGGCTGGGGAGAGGGAGGTCTGGTCTCCTCTTATTAGGCTGCTGCCCCTGTACCCCGGCCCTGGATAAGCAGAAGAAGATGGATGGATGGATGGATGGATACTTTCTCTCCAAATAATTTGGAGGAAGCTGAGTTAACTTCAGCTTCCTCCAAACCATCAACAGATCTCTTAGACTGTATTGTTACAAGACTGCTCAAAGAAGTCCTACCATTAATTTATTCATCAATCTTAAATATGAAAAATCTCTTTCAGTTAATGAACTTTATGTTGGCAGTAATTAGACCATTACTTTAAAAGCCATCTCTTGACCCAACTGTCTTGGCTAATTATAGGCCAATCTCCAACCCTCCTTTTAGCTGTAAACACCTAACTGATCATCCACAGAGGAATTTATTTATTTCAAGAGTTTCAGTCCGGCTTCAGATTTTCTTATGGACTATAACAGCAGACCCATATCTATGCATGTCCTACTAGACCTCAGGGCAGGTCTAGTAGTTATCGTCAACATAACTTGTTAATAGTACCTTCATTGTTGCTCTCTCCCTCAGACTCTAGATGGATTTGTTTTTGTTGTTGCATCAGATGGAAAAATCATGTACATTTCAGAAACGGCATCAGTGCACCTTGGTCTGTCACAGGTAAGACAATCCACCTGAGCACTCCCTCATGTGGACTAGTATACCCAGGATTAAGTTTAGATTTTCTGAACCAAACAATCTGGAGAAAAATGTATAAGTAACATAGAAGCATGTGTCATGTAACAACTGAGTTTTCAACACACTTCAGACATGGCATAAGTAGAGCATTCTTTTGTTTCTATATGAATTTAATGCATTTGTGCAACTAATCACTAAATGTTCCAAATGTGTGTGCTGCAGGTGGAGCTAACAGGAAACAGTATATTTGAGTACATCCACCCATCAGACCATGATGAGATGACAGCAGTGCTGAGTCTCCGCCAGGCCCCACAGCATCACTTCTTGCCAGGTACTTAAAGACCTTATGTCTCCATTGTGTGCCACACAGTGGTAGTTGATATTTTATTCTTGAAGTGAATTAACTGTTTGTTCTTCGATGCTGTCCATGCCTGGCTGTTCCTCTTGTCTATCCTCCGGGTTGCAGTGTGCTACTGAAGTATGGGATGCATGATTAGAACCGTCTGTCTTGGCCAGCCTCCCTTGGCACCATCTGTAACACCCCTCCTACTACAATGATGTTATGATGTGATATACATACAAAAGATATTTTAAAAATTTATAATATATGCCTAGGTTTGCAGAGGTCATTGATTGATTGATTGACTGATTGATTGAATCTTTATTTTGAACATGTTGAAAAAGTACAACAACATAGAATTTGAAAACAACAACATAGAATTAAGAAAATGTGCCCCATGTTCTGATTGTGTGTACAAGCCAACTCTGCCTCCTGTGAAAGGAAATCAGCTACAACTACCTGAGTCCCCAGCCTATGGACCACCTTGAATTTAAAAGGCTGAAGTTTCAAAATCCACTGGGTGATCTGGGTGTTGGCATCTCTCATGCAACAGAGCCACTGCAGTGGGGTACAATCCAGCAGAGGGTGAATGGGCATCTCAGGAGGTAATAGCAAAGAGAGTGTGCCGCCCACCAGATTGCCAAGCCCTCTTTTTCAACAGTACTATACCAGGTTTCTAGTTCTGACAGTTTCCAGCTGATGTACACAACTGGGCAGTTGACTGCCCCTTATCTGCTGACGGCAGGCCTCTGCTTTAGGTGTTAGTCTGCAGGATAAAAGAGAGGGAAAGGTTTGGTGTGTGGAGCAGTGGTTCCCCACAGAGAGCCTTCTTCACCTTCAAGAAAGGCATTTTGCTCTGCTCCATCCACTGGACCAGGTCTGGGGTAACCTTTCAGATGAAGTCAGTTAAGGGCCTTGTTGGCATCGCAAAGTTCAGAAAAAACCACCAGGAATTGCCAGCCAGGCAGCCCTAATAGGGCTGAAATAGTGGAATAGGTGAATTTAGTACCTCCAGCTTCAACTCATCTCAATTATTTAGCACACTCGCCACATTGAGGTGATATATTTGTGTGGCAGCTCCTCTGTCTTACTGCACCAACTTGTGGTCAACATCCCCCACTTGCCATGTGACCAAATCTTAGAAATATGGTATCTAACCAGATTCTTACTCTGGATGGCATTACCTTGGCCTCCAGTAACGCTGTGAGGAACCTTGGAGT